ATGCAGCCATTGGCAGCGCGCGGCCCAACTTCTATTCTACCAAACATTACAGGCAGGAATGTCATTTAGAAGGGAAGAATACAAGAAAGGAGACGGCTCAGTCCTATGACTGGGCTCAGAGTAAAAATAGATGACATTTTCTCGGTGATTTCACAAAGCGTTACAATACTCATTGGTTACATTGTCCATAAAGTGCCAACAAATCCCCCTCCTGTTCTAGTGATAGGCAGCTCATTCACAAAGTTACACAGATAAGACACCTTCCCTTTTATGTCTGCGGAATCGAATAAATTATGTTCATTCCAGCAGATTATAATAAAGTAAACGCTCGGTTATCCGGTATTCAACTAACCAGAACTCTCATCTAACCAGAAGAAAAAAATCCCCTGTGTACTTGCAGTTCTGCGGCATGTATTATCCTGGAAACTATTGTGTGTCTATTTGCTTTTGATTACTACATTTCAATATTAATATGAAGTCAATAAAGAGTTTATGTCATGGTATAGTATGGGGTATGGCATTAGTTAGACCTGTTTTTAATAGTAACTCTCAAGCAACCAGAAACTACATTTATCTGGAATCTACCAATCCCTCTGGACGCTGGATAACGGGGAGTTTACTGTATAAGCCTATCCGCAGTGGTTACATCTTATAACTAGATTGGGATGTAGATGAGGACGGGTCTTGCGGCATCTGCTCCCAGTAGACTTTAGGCTAGGGTTGCCACCTTTTCTTCAAGCAAAACCTGAACACTCTAGTGACGCGCTGACATTTTTTTGGGAGAACGAGTTGTAGCTTATTCATGAGTAAATATCACAGTTAAGACTATTTTCAGTGGGGGGTCAGTAGCCCTTATCTTAATTTTGGTTGCCCCTGTCTGCCTGACATCATGTGTCCGGGTTTCTGCTGCCATGAAACCCGGACACAGCATTCAAAACCCTGACTGTCCGGGTGAATCCTGGACAGGTGACAACCCTACTTTAGGCTCAATTCACAAAGCTTTAGCACCAGGATAAGGATCTTTATTTCAGTCATGTGACTGTCATTTTCAAGTCCCATTGGCCTTAGCTGAAACTGTCATTTTTTCCCCCTGGGTTTACGAATTGAGCCTTTTGGATGCCAGTGTTGTGGCCATAGACACTACGCTACACGTACATCAAACATAACGCTATTTAAAGGCGTGCCGCTTTGAATCAGTCATTCGTTCGCCCCAGAAAAGTCACATGATTCGTTTGTGACATCATCCTCGCTTTGGACCAAAGTTGCCAGAAAATTCCAACGGTAGAACTAGAATTTGGTGTTTGTCTTTCTTCCTATCCACCATCTATTCAAATGCCTGTCTTAAAGGATCACACCCGGTGCACAGGAGCATTGACTGTGGCTGACAGCACCGTTCAGGAGATTTTCTCAGACAGGTTTTGGTATAAACATGCATGCTTAGATTGACTGGCCGTGCGTGTTTATGTGCCATTGCTGGCCTTTCAGTTAGAATTAACCTCTCTATAACCCTAACACTAACCCTCCCTGTAACCCTAACACTAAACTTCCCTGTAACCCCAACACTAACACTCACTGTAACCCTAACCCTCCCTGTAACCCTAACACTAAACCTCCCTGAAACCCTAACACTAACCCTCCCTGTAACCCTAACACTAACCCTCCCTGTAACCCTAACACTAACCCTCCCTGTAACCCTAACACTAACCCTCCCTGTAACCCTAGCACCAACCCTCCATGTAACCCTAACCCTTTGCCTTCCTGTAATCCTAACACTAACACTACTCCTCTAGATAACCCTAATATTAACCCTCCATGTAGCCCTAAGACAACCTCTCTATATTATATCCCTGTAATCCTGAAACTGACCCTCCATATAACGCTAACATTTACCCTTGCTGTAATTTTAAACCTTACACCATCCCTCCCTGTAACCCTAACACTATCACTCCCTGTAACACTAACACTCACCCTCCCTGAAACCCTAGCACCAACTCTCCATGTAACCCTAACACTAAACCTCCATGTAACACTAACACTGTCCCTCCCTGTAACACTAACACTCACCCTCCCTGCAACCCTAGCACCAACCCTCCATGTAACCCTAACACTAAACCTCCCTGTAACCCTAGCACTAACCCTCCATGAAACCCTTGCACTAACCATCTCTCTAACACTAACCCGAACCCTCTATGAAATGCTAGCACTAACTGTCCCTATAACCCTAACACTAACCCACCCTGTAACCCTAACCCTTTGCCTTCCTGTAACACTAACCCTCCTATAAGTAAATATGTTTGTATTCCCACCTGTGCTGCACCTCAGTTCTGAAAGACACCACCACCAGATTCTCCTGCCTCTGATAGCCATGTACCTAATCTGTTTCTGGCTGATACATTGTGTCATTGTCTTCCTTTGATTCTTTGCCCCTTCTGGATGGGGAAATATAGGACATTTCAGCTATAAACCCCTCTGATAGTTTTATAAAACTTCCCGCCTAGTCTGGAGCTGAGAGGACAAGTTACCGGAGGAAGTGATATTTATACCGGGCCTGTGTTGTCTTCAACCATCCAGATTCAGGAGACACAAATACCCTGAACCGGTGTAAACATTCCTCCTTTTGTAAAGTAACCCCCTAAATGATCCAGCGAACACTTAGCGAGGTTGATTCATCGAGTACAGTAAATGTAGACAGCTTACAGCTAATCTTTAAGACGGAGCATTTAAACACAATACTGTCAGAGCATTGCATGTCCCGTCTTGTCAGTTTAGTCTGCTTCCCGTCTGTTGTGTTTTTAGTTTATTTCAGGTTTAGCGTAGGAAAAAGACCTTCTAAAAGCTTTGGAATATTTGATGCTTTTCATCTCAGCGGGTTTTTTTTTTTTTTTCCCCTCCTGTTTTATGTCTTTGGAAAGATGAGACATTCGGTTCGGCTTCTGAACTTCTTAAATGTAGACTGGAGTTTATTTAGCCACTTTTCAGACTGTTGGCTCCTAGAATCCCGAGTCTGTCCCCCGGACTTCATTCTGGCCACGCACTGCAAACTGTCTACTCACAGGAGCAGGAAGTCACCGGAAACGCCAGTTTCAGCGCAATGTAGAAAGCCGACCTGTTTATTTTATTTGTACATTTATTTATTTTTTAAATCATTCCCCTGTAAATTGTATCGAAGAATAGGAAATAGGCAAACGGACAGACACAAATTGCTATATATTTTATTGTCTCCTAATTTGCTGTGAAGCACGAGTACCGCTACGTCTCCTCAAGTACTTGCCGATACCTTTTTTTTTTTGTGTGTCATGTGACAGTTTTTCTAAAACAATACATACTAATGAGTAGGGATGCATCGATGCCAGTTTTTCGGTATCGAGTACCGATATTATGCTCTTTGGCCGGCTCAATGCTGATTGGCCGGGAAGCCCGCTTCCCAGCCATTCAGCATCAAGCCGGCTGTTTGGCTAGTTTTCTGCTGATTGGCCAGGGCGCCAGCATCGAGCCGGCCAAACAGCATGGAGCTGGCTTCCAGGCCAATCAAGAAGCCAGACGGTAAGTCATTACCCATCACCCGACTTCCTGATCGGCCGGGATGCCAGATCCATGTTCCCTCGCAGCAAGGAAATCTTCCTCTGACCGGAACTTCCGGTATCCGGGGGAAGTATCTGAGCATTTGGGCCAGTATGAGTACTCCCCCAAATACACGGTATCGGCACCTATTATCGGTATCGGTGCATCCCTACTAATGATTTTAGGACAGTGATGGAGCACCAGGGCCCGGTTGCAGCTGCGAACGCTGTGACCCTGTTAGTTTTGCCACTGACTCCAAGCTGTAGACTATAAATGTCAGCAATACATTATACAGCAATGCAGAATACCGCCATCTATAGAGGACTACAAATCTCAGCAATACAGCAATACAGAAAGGCACTAGCTATAGGGGACTATAAGTCTCAGCAATACATTATACAGCAATGCAGAATACCTCCATCTATAGAGGACTACAAATCTCAGCAATACAGCAATACAGAAAGGCACTAGCTCGAGGGGACTATAAGTCTCAGCAATACATTATACAGCAATGCAGAATACCACCATCTTTAGAGGACTACAAATCTCAGCAATACAGCAATATAGAAAGGCACTAGCTATAGGGGACTATAAGTCTCAGCAATACATTATACAGGAATGCAGAATACCTCCATCTATAGAGGATTACAAATCTCAGCAATACATTATACAGCAATTCCGAATAACAGTATATGAATTTTCTATATACTTTGTGCTGCCGCCCTGCTTCGGGGGGTGCTGGACTGATGTCTCAGGTGGAGGGTCTCAGGAGGGGTGTGGAGAATCTCAGGAGAGGTGCGGAAGGTCTCAGGAGGGGGAGATGTGCGGGCAGGCGCCATGTTGCTCCCAAGAAGGTTGCCGAAAGATCCCCAGGACCTTACAGCAGCCACTTCAATTTAAAGCGCCGGTATCAGTTTTGGGTATCAGGACATTTTTACGAGTACTGGTGAAAATGCCCAACATCGCCACTGATACTGGTATGGGTGCATCCGTACTGCAAATGTATCAGCATTCACTCAAATGTTGCCGATACCCTCAGAAATGTTTTTGATATTAGTATTTAATTCGACCTGAAGAGAAGTAGCCCAAAACAATAGCCAAAGAACATTCAACCAGAAGGGAAAATAACCTAAATCAACAGTCTAAGAACATCCCCCCAACCCAAAAATCTGTGCTGCTTATGGTGACCAATGAGGCTTCAGCTGTCACATGATACCAACACCTGATTGGTGGCCTCATGAAAAGTACTGTCATGTAACTTCCAGCAAACAATGTCATTCTCAGACTCAGATTCTGATTGGTTGCTTTGGGCAGTGCAGGCAGTTCTTCCTTCCAACACCCTCATACATGTCCCAGGGTACCTCTTCCCATTGGACTGGGTACAGGAGTCTCCAAAGTGTCACATGATGTTTGATGTTTCACTTCTTCTCTTTGGTCAGGTGGTGGCGCTAGGGGATGTCCCGGATGGAACGCTGGTCACCGTCATGGCGGGCAACGATGAGAATTACTCAGCCGAGCTTCGCAACGCCACAGCGGCGATGAAGAGCCAGGTCGCTCGATTCAATGACCTGAGGTTCGTTGGGAGGTCGGGAAGAGGTAAGAGAACCTTCTTACTCCTTTATAAGGAAATACTTTGTAATGTGTATTGGAAGTTCGGTGTCTTCTGTGCAGGAATCAACTCCTGCACATTGCGTCTATGCAGGAGCTTCTTGTAATGCAGACCAGTCGCTGCTGCCCTCTCCCCTTGTGCAGTGTGACTGGTCTTGTCTCCACCCCCTTCTGTATTCTCCTGCAGGCAACCTGTAAGTGGGTCTGCTCTCTGCACATTCTATGTACTGCACAATGATGATGTCACTACTATCACTACTTGTATGTGGTAATATCTTCTGTATTTTCCTGTAGAAAGCCTGTAGTGGGTGGGGCCTAATGAGCCCCTCCCACAGCTCTGCTCTCTGCACAGTCTATGTACAGCACAGTGATGATGTCACTGCTACATTTGCAAGTTAATATCTGGTCTTGTAAAGGAATTGGTGGATTTATATAATTTGTAATTATTGTGGAGTATATTTAAATGAAATTTTTTGTACCCAGAGTTCAGCCCTAAAAATGTTTTAGATGGTTGTGTTGATTCAGAGCGATTCTTAGAGGATATAACGCCTTTGCACACCCAGATATTACCGTATAAAAGCAGTGATAGTAGTGAAATGATTCACTGTGCTGTACAGAGAGCAGAGCTGTGGGAGGGGCTCATCAGGCCCCACCTACTACAGACTGCCTGTAGAAATCTAGAGGAGGGGGCGTAGACAAGACCTGTCACTCTGCACCAGGAGAGAGAGCAGCAGTGACCGGTCTTTATTACAGGAAGAAATGTTGGAAGAAATACAAAGCACAGCTGTAAAGGGAACCTGAATTTGCCAGTTGCCTGGCTGTCATGCTGATCCAAAGGCTTCATTACTCTGCAAGGCTAAACCTGAAACAAAGACAGCAAGTGAAGGAGAATCTCCCCGCACAGCCAGCAAATAAAAAGCATTTCCCGCTCCACTTTAAATATACAGGAATGTTACTTATATCTGAAAGGTGTCACTTGTAAATTCAATTGTTACAAATTCATTTTTTACACCCCTGTCACTCCCTGAGCTACCGCTGCTGTTGTGACAGCTCGGAATTGCGCGCCCGTCGCCCTATAAAGGCGGCGTGATTGACAGCTGGAAGAGGTTATTATCACAGCTTGTGACACCGCTGAGGTCACGGCAGTGATTTTTTACAGAACACACCTGCATGGCCTGCACACACCGGCCTCTCCACCAATCCAGCCAGCCGCATAGAGTCATGTGACTGGGACATCACCTATGACAGGTGCTGGTTTGTTTTCTTGATGGATTGACAGCTGACCTCTGACCTTCTCTGTGCTTTCCTCCCTTATACATACTGCCTGCCCTGTGCAGGGCACCCACTGACATATTTATTCCTCAGTGTCAGAGATGACAGACGGGAAGGAGAGGAGAGAGAGAGAGAGAGAGAGAGAGAGAGAGAGAGAGAGGGGGGAGAGGAGGGGGGGCGTGGGGCGTTGGTGAAAAACAGAACCAACACAACTTCTGACCCGTGAAATGTGAAAAGACATTGCGTGCTTGTGTGGAGATGTCTTCCTTGAAAAGCCTTTTGTGGCTGCATTGTGCTGCTTTCCTGTTGTTCTCTTTTTTTTTTCTTCTTTTATTTGCATGCTTGTGTTTAGTTATTGAACTGGCGGAGAGTTAAAGAGAACCTGTCACCATTCATTTTAACCACGATCTTCACCACTGGATTATATGGGCATTTATATGGGAATTTATGGGCATTTATATGGGAATTTATGGGCATGTGTATGGCAATGTGTGGGCATGTATATGGGAATTTATGGGCATGTGTATGGCAATGTGTGGGCATGTATATGGGAATTTATGGGCATGTATATGGGAATTTATGGGCATGTATATGGGAATTTATAGGCATTTATATGGGAATTTATGGGCATTTATATGGGAATTTATGGGCATTTATATGGGAATTTATGTGTATGGGCATTTATATGGGAATTTATGGGCATCTTTATGGGAATTTATGGGCATTTATATGGTGAATTTATGGGCATGTATATGGTGAATTTATGGGCATGTATATGGGAATTTATGGGCATGTATATAGGAATTTATGGACATGTATATGGGAATTTATGGGCATTTATATGGGAATTTATGGGCATCTGTATGGGAATTTATGGGCATTTATATGGGCATTTATATGGTGAATTTATGGGCCTGTATATGGGAATTTATGGACATTTATATGGGAATTTATGAGCATCTGTATGGGAATTTATGGGCATTTATATGGGAATTTATGGGCATCTGTATGGGAATTTATGGGCATTTATATTGGAATTTATGGGCATTTATATGGGAATTTATGGGCATCTGTATGGGAATTTATGGACATGTATATGGGAATTTATGGGCATTTAACATATATACTGCTTATATTCTGGATCTTCCCATCCCCCCTCATCAACGTGCTATTGAAATTAAAATTAAAATAAAAAATGTTCATGACACCCCTTATTTTAGGTGCAGTGACGCCATCACTGGGTCTCTGTGCGTCTCTATCATGGCTGGTGGTTGGGGCCGGCAGGGTGCAGTACATAGCTTCCAATAATCATCACAACACCCTGCTTCAGTACTTCTCTGAAGAGCCCCGATGCAAGAAGTGGGCCGGCTTTTGGGAGGGGTTACTGAATGCAAATATTAAAATGCCTTGATGGGAGGATGACAGTCTGGAGCAGTGGGCGCTCCTAGGCAGGCTGTGTTTGCATGCAGACCATCCTAGGTAATGCCCACGTGTGATGCTAAGCCTCCATGATTGAACAAACTGAAATCCAATAAATGAAAGGGGCGGGGCCAGAGACAGTTTGGCTGGGAAGGAAAGGGCTAGGGGATCCTGGATGTCCTCCAGCCAGGAAATGAGGCGGGCTCTATCTGACTTGCTGCACATTGCTAGAAGCTCACAGTGTGCAGTGATATCAGAGGAAGTGATGTCAGTCCAGGAGGGAAGCCGGTACAACCGTGCAAGACTGAAGGGAAGGCCGGTGTTCTATCGAAAGCTCCAACCCATCGAGATCTCCAACTACCTCACTTCCGGTGCTCAGAAAGGCTGGAGCTCTGTACAGTGGCGGTGCGCGGGCGCGCATAGCGTTTTCAGAATACTCGTCGAGTTTGCCACCTGCTGAATACTGTTAAAATGCAGCTGTACAGAGCTCCTTCAGTCTTTGCGTTTTGCAGTCTAACGCCGCCTGGTCGAAATCTCCAACTTACAAGTCCCTGGCAATGAGGCAGTTGGAGATTTCGATGAGTTGGAGCTTTCGATAGAACACCCGGAGTTCAGCTTTAAGATAACATGCTGCGCTTTTTTTTAGAATGGAGCTCTTTAATCCGTAAGAAGCGCAAAGATCTCCCTCATAAAGACGGATTATATAAAATGATCCTTGCCCAACGGCCGGAAATGTGCCCCCACCCCCCCCTCCACCACTCACTTTACACGCTCTGTACATTTCCTGTGTTTCCTAACCGCACCAGGCCTCGCAAACCGCCTTCCAAGAGAAAAAAGAGGAATTTCTGAGTGCAAAACAACAGAGATTACGCAACGACGAAGATCTGTCTATTTTGTTTTCCCCGCTGAACTGAAACCGCCACTTCTGCGCTTTTTATTGACGGTTTGGACTGAGCGAGTCATTCAGGCAGATTGAAAAGTACTTCTGCGGTTCTCGTTAATGGTTCTCGTCTGAGGGACATCCCGTCACATCGCGCAGGGGGAAAAAAAAATCCGGCTGAAAGTCAGGATTGAATCGATGGAGGGGGTGGCAGGAGTCACCATCCTTAAAGGATATGTCCACCTTGTAGAACGTGGTTCATGTTACGCCCATGAAATAGTCTGACCCACCCTACCCAGAATCCAAGCCACACCCCCCTTACCTGAATGGCGGGGTTCATCTCTGTGCAGAATTGTGTGATCTGCTGAATTACGCGTGGCCCCCGCCCACACAGCTACGTCGCCCAGGTCAGGGAAAATTCCTGGCAGAGCGCGCCAGTGTAGATCAAGCCGCACCTCCTGAGGCTGGGAGAACACATTGCAGGAGCCTGTGCATTGCACCTGTGACGCACCGTCCCTACATAGTCCCTCTGCCGCAGATGTTCCCAGACCTGGATGACGCAGCTGTGTGGGCGGAGCCAAGCATAATTCAAAAGATCGAAAAATCCTGCATGGAGATAAACCCCGCCATTCAGGTTAGGGGGGAGTGGCTTAGATTTTGTAATATGCAACTATTGTATGTTCCACCGTAAATATGGACATTACATGAAAGGTGGGCGTATCCTTTAAGGACGATGACTGTTACAATCAGGGACGTAACGGCGGTAGTAAACGCATGTTGATACAAGCAGCCAGCGACGCAGATATATTTTTAATATATTTTTTATATATGTGTGTCGCTGGCTGATTGTAACACTTCTGCAGTTACTGTTTGTGAATCACCTCACCCTCTGCGGCACTCACAAAGTCTGATAGAAGGGACATGTGAGACCGATCAGCTGTTCCAGGCAGATGATCGGTTCTCTTGCACATGCGCAGCGAGCCGATTTGCCCCGGAACAGCCGCCAAAAGCGTTGGAATGCTTGAACTAATGGGCGGTCACACATTCCACCGCTGTCAAACTGGGCGGGATTACGTTGGAATCTGTGACCGCGTCACCGGTCACACATTCAAATGTAGTCACAAACTTTGATAGAACACTACACAAAGCTACAGGAGGGGGTGGGTACAAGACCATTCATCCTGCACGAGGAGGGAGAGCAGCAGTGAGTGGTCTTTATTACAGTAAGTGTCACATGGGATTACTGTACAGATCTGGAAGAAACACACAAAGTTCACCAAGATTCCAGGAAGAGTAAGCAGGACTCTTGTATTTAGATAATATTTGCTGATCTCGGAGTTCAGCTTTAATGACTTTGCGGCCTGCAGGATAACGCATAGATTTGGGCATGCCCTTAGCTGATAAGGAAGGGTGGGGA